GAATCTGAGGTTTTATTATGTATTTTTTCCAATATGATAAACTAAATAAATAGAATTTGCTGAAAAATGCCATATGAAAGTTCCCTTATAAAATATGTGTTTAATTATTTTTACTTAGAAAATCAACCAAACATATCATTTCACTAGGGTGTTCAAACTTTTGCATACAGCTATATGCAAGTATCTATAGGTAATAATTATATGTGCCATATGTATAATATATACTCTCACCAAGCACTTCATTAGGAACACCTGTGCTTCTACTGATTCATGTATCTAATCAGCCAATTGTGTGGCAGCAGCACAGTGAATACCATTATGCAGATACGGGCAGCAGCTTCAGGTAATGTTCACATCACCCATTTTAGATTTTGACCACGACATCATTGTTGGTGCCAAATGGGCTGGTTTGAGTATTTCTTCAACTGCTGATCTCCTGAGATTTTCACCTACAGCAATCTCTAGAATTAGTCAGAATGGTGCAATGCAGAAAAGCATCTCAGAATGCCATTGAGGCGGATGGGCTACAACAGCAGAAGAGCTGAGGCTGCAGTGGACACAAGCTCACCAAAACTGGACACTTGAAGACTGAAAAAACAAAGCCTTGTTTGATAAATCTCAATTTCTGTTGAGGAGCACAGATGGTAGGCTCAGAATTTGGCTCCAACAGCGTGAATCCATGGACCCAACCTGCCTTGTGTCAACAATCTAGGCTGGTGGAGGTGGTGTAATGGTGTGGGGAATGTTTTCTTGGCACACTTTGGGCCCGTTAACACCAATCAATTATTGCTTGAATGCTGCAGACTATTTGAATATTGTTGCTGACCATGTGCATCCCTTCATGGCCACAGTTCACCATCTTCGAATGGCTCATTCCAGCATTATAATGCTCCATGTCACAAAAGAAAAAGTCATCTCAGACTGATTTCATGAACATGACAGTGTTCTTCATTGGCCTTCCTAGTCACCGGACAGTGTTCCAATGAAGAACACTGTCAGTAGAACTGACAGTGTTCCAATGAAGAACACTGTGTTCCAAAAACACATAGACGTTTGTCTTTGTACATGTTTTTAGACGCTTGTATGTGGCTCATTCTACAGAAACTTCAATTTTTGTGTCCCTAGCGTTTACAGATATATTACACTTAAAAACCATGTTAGGGTTACAATTTATTTACATTTTCAAATAAAACAATAAGTTATTTTAGCAATTACATCTTCTTGAGCTTCAATTTAGCAATATTGGCTTTTAAATTTATTATCTAGAATTCCAAGCACCACAGAAGAGCTCGTCCTCACGGTCATGTGTAAAGGGTGAGGCCACATTTTGAGGTAAAAAACATTTTTTTCTGCAATTTTAACTACAATAATCTATACATGACTATGAAATATATGATTTAAATGACATAAAGAAAACAAATGCCAAATAAATATTATAAAATATATACTGAAACTTGTTGTCCCCAGGAGTCGTGTCACTGGTGTTACTGCGTAACAAAAAATCTCTTATTTTGAAATAAAAATCACACTGATGACATCACTTGACTTCCTTTTACCTGTTTTCTGAGGATCTATGAAGAAAAGCACATGGTGAGTCCACTGTGTCTTTCAGTTATCAGAGATTTTCTCATTTAGCTCATGATTTCATATGAAGCTTTTAGCTGAAGTCACTGGTGTGACCGACTTTATTCTGAGGTAATTGTGAAAAAATAGAACACAAATGGATTAAATTCCATATTTTAGTGGACATTCCATGACTGACCACGTGTGGTTTGATGCTCTGTAGCAGCCCTTTAGTAAAATGCATTTTCCATTAAAATGTCTCTGGTGTTCCCTTTATTATGTGTAACACCAATGAGGGTTGGTAACACCAGTGACTCCTATGGAGAGATAGACAAGTGGTCGTTTCTGTAGAAAGTCCTGTGTAAGTACATTTTTCATACAAGCACGTTGTTCACCCCACTCAGGTGATCAGTTTGCCCTCTTGTGGACAGTGGCTGCTACTGCACTCCTGTCTAATGTTAATGGTGAAGGTGATATTAATAAATGTCCCTCTGATATGGAAATGGGCATTATCATCTATCTAACTATCCTCTGCTCTGTGATTGTCTGCTGAGGTCAGAACAGGCTCGTTTTCAAACATCGCTGGTGTTTCATTCATGCATTCACACTCATTTGGTTACGGTTGTTAAGTCACTCATTCTTCCACGTGGGGATGCTCATAGGAAGAGATCGTCTGAATCAGTAGGCAGCAGATGTGGCTGTGAATGTCAGAAATAGTCAATGGGGCATTCCACAAGTTTTTCAAAAATTCTGCAAATGTAAATCACTGAGGTGTAAACAGTGTTTCCAAGTGGTTTTGCTGTAGAGGAACCTGCCGACTCAGGGTTTCTTTACAGTGGTGGTGATAGGAACCAGGGGTCACCATGAATACAACACAAATATAGCCATTTTATTTACTATCCAAAACGACCAGTGAACCCACACAAGTCTTCTGAGCTTTCACATTGAATATTGATGATGGTACAATAGTACAACATCTACTATTTTGCCTTATAACCCTCTGCATGTATCTCTTCATCATGAATGATTTTACCCTGAAAGCTTCTCTCAAAACCTAATCTTAAGCAACAGGCATCCTTTTAAATGTTATAACTTTCTGTGAAGCATTAAAATCTCCAGACGTCTGGTTCCTATGACCATCACTGTGAACAGTTCTGACTCTGTAAATGCTCTAGAACAGTGCACTTTGTATCAAACCGCTCTAAATTTTGAAAAATTGGTGGAATTCCTCCTTGATTGTGCCAGGCAGAGGCAGTGTAATAAAATTATCAAAACCGGATCTGAGTGGGACTACAGCTTAAAGGGTATGTTCTATGGTATACCTAACGTCCTATGAGAGTTTGATAATGTTGTGGTGGTGCTGGGGTGTGTGTATGTGTGTGTGGGTACATGTGTGGATGTGTGTGTGTGTGTGTGTGTGTGTGTGGGTGTGTGTGTGTGTGTTTCACTTTAATGGGGTCATAGATAGCATCTGAAGTTCCGCTCCATGTGACATGTTTCTGTACAGCTCCAGCTCATCTGATTAAACTGTTACAATTTGATTTTGTCATTATAATAAACCCTTGCTGGATCATCTGTATTCAGATAATATTGTCCCTATAATGCATAGTGTTATGCGCCGTCGGCATGAGTGTCAAAATGTACTCAATGATAACAGTGATGACTGATGTGGATGGTTATGATGACAGTAATGTTGATACTTATATAAATGGTTCAATCTGCCCTAACTTGGTTGCAGAACAACACAAACCTAAAGGGCAGTTTATCTGTATCTGTTTGTGTTTTTTTTCTTTCTATTTTTATTATTTTTATTTTCCTTTGTCTGTGGAGTGATGAAATCTATCTCCCCCTACTAACGATTTTCCATGACCCTCACGGTTGTGGGCCGGGCTTCTTCTCTAGGTTCTTCTAATGTGAAAGGTGCCAGGTTATGAGCTACAACCTACCTTGTACAGTCACTGGCCATTTTATCAGAAACACCTACCATATTTTGTATCTGCAGTGAAAAAAGTGACTCGTTAAATTTACTTGATTTAAACATTTAAATGAAATAAATGCAATGCAGCACTTTTTCAGTGCAGTTACTGACAGTAGCCCATGTGTTGCTATACGCACCCTACATGGCAGTAGTGTGGTAGTGTGGTACGAGTGTATCAAGCGCAGCAGTGTTACTGTTACTTTTAAAAGTCGCATATAAGTTTGCAGAGGATCTGATCCTGGATCAGTCTGTGTGGCTGCCCTTAATTCAGTATGAGCAGCTTAAGTCCATCCCACTCATTGAAAGCTCAATGCCCAAATACAGGGATGCTGTACTTTAGTAACCCTCTCCATGCTTTACATGTTAAAGATTAAGCTCCTTTTGTTTCTATGAGGCTCACTAATAGGATCTAAACTAGACTATAACAGGCCAAATAGAACATACTGAGCAACACATGCAAAGCCACTAACCTCAGCCCTTCACCTGAATTTTAGAAAAAATTTATTATCAGTGTGGTTATCTACACGTCTGCAACCTTCATCAACCAAGAGTGAGCAAAAGTGTCACACCTGAAAACACACACACACACACACACACACACACACACACACACACACACACACACACACGCACACACAGAGTCGTCCACTATGCAAGTTCAAACACTTACAATCTTCCGGCTGTGCATAGGAAACTCCTGATACTCAGAACCAATAGTTACTGTTCAGAGCTCAGGCGCTACTCAAAGCTCTCAGTAAAGCTGGAATCAGAGTCAACCTTTTGCTATAATCCTTCTCAAAACTTTCCCTACCATTCCCAAACCTTTCTGTAGCCATTCCCCAACATTTCTCTATTCCAGTGTTTCTCAACTCGGTCCTCAGACAGGCCACATTTTCCCTTCATCCCTAAGTGTTGCAAGTTTGGTTGGAGTAAAAATGTGGACCCTGAGGACCTGGTTGGAAAGCACTTGTCTAACCTTTCCAGAACTGTTATCTAAACATTCCCAGACCCCAGACCTTTCCCCAACTATTCCCAAACCTCTCTCTAGCCATTTCCAAGCATTACTCGGACCATTTCCAAATGTTTTCCTAACATTCCCAAACCTTTCTCTAGCTACTCCCTAACTATACCCTGAACTTTAACAATTCATAAACGTTTCACCTTCTTCATAACTCTAGAGCCCAAAACCCCCTTATTTTTTACTTGTTTTTATATGTTCACAGATTTCAGTGTATTGATTTTTCTTCATGTTATTATTGTCTATTCTGTCTCCCTAACTACACATTATTACTATTAAAGATGAAATGGTTATGCTAAACACAACATTGTGCATCATCCTTATCTCAGATCTATACTCGGTTTCTGTGGTTCTGCTGATGTGTGTGTGCTCACTGTGATCAGCGTCTGCAGTGCTGCTGTCTTACTCTTAATACTGAGACAATGGAAACAAATTTATTTACATCATTTTATTGCGTTATTTGGATCCACAGCATTAAAAAGCATTGATAGTATTGAAAGAAAGGAATACATGAATTCATTAAAACAATGTAATGTAATGTAAGGAAATACATATGCAAATATAGGAGCAATGTAAGGTAAATATAGGAGCATCTCAACTTTCCAAGCACTTTGGATGTTGCATTTGGGTTACATATAAGCTGCAGCACTGAAATCCAGTCTTCATTCAAGATGCCAATCCATTTATTTCGTGCTTGCAGAACTTGTTCTTGGGCGTAGTAACCCTGAAAGACACAGATAACACAGTCAGTCTGCATTATAGAGGCTTAGAACTGATCTCTTTTAGCTTAAAGTCAAGATAGTCTTATCTGCTGAAATTCGTCTGAAGGTAGATACTCACACGTAGCCTGGCTTTGGGCATTCAGAAGGTGTTTTTTCAACTTTTATGATTAGGTTGGGTGGAATTTTAATATTGGTAAAGCTGAAACAGCACTGAACAGGATGGCCAGCACCATGAGCTGAGAAGGAAGATCAGAAAAATGTTTAGTTTATGTTTTTTAATTACTGAAAAAAAAAACAACATGCTTTCATCATCTCAGCTGCACCTGAAATTCATGTCAAATACAAACTATTCAGGGGCAAATGACCTGCATTGTCTGCACACTCTGACTACTAATACTATTATTGCTAATAATACTTATAGAAATTATTACAATGATTACAACTTAATCACCACGACAACCAAATAATAATCGATTATTTTGTACTTGTTACTATTAATAATTATCAATAGTATAGTTACTGTTATTCTAATACATATCATGTTCTGTTCAACTCAAACCAAGAAAATGTCTTAAAATGTTGTAAACTCACGTTCAGCGTCTGAGGAGATGGTCATCAGCAGGACCAGCCCCAGCACCAAACACACACAGCTCATCTTCATCTCCATCTTTTCCGCAAGTTCTCCTTCTCTCTCTGGTGCTATCTCAAGTTTGATCTGGTGATGCTCAGCCTCTCTTATTATGTGTGTTTAAGGGTACCTCCCCAAACCCCCCCCCCGTCAACCCCTAACCACGCCCAACCCCTAACCCCCCCCCGCCTCTCCGCTTTCTGCCCCATTCACCCACTTCCTCTCAGAGCGCAGAGCAGAACCTGTAGTGTGAAGATGACCCGTGATAAGATGTCTGATGTGTGAATGCTGTGCATGAGTCATCACAGTTACTGGAAACCTAAGAACCAGACTATTTTTCTTAAAACACTAATTGATTAATGCATTGTTCTCTAAATTCAGTAAATTAAACCATATTATTAACCTAATTAACAGCTTTAAAAGCCCATCGAAACTAATTTCATGCATGGGCTTTAAGGGCTTTTTTTCACTACTAACTTTCCTACTGAAAGAGAAAAAATTCACGTTCTAGAGCGCGCTTCCCCAGCATCTTTACAGTTGGCCTATAGGAACCTTCAATAGCTTATGATATCGCAACAAATGCTGAAATGATTCATTTGCAGTGTAGTGTTGCTTTGGTCTGTCGCTGTTGTTCTGGTTGCTACCTCAGTAACTGCTTTGCTCATATGTGCTAAGTTCATATCTGCTAATACGTCATAGTACGTTACATCCTGCTTTGCACAAATTCTTAGCACCGTGTACTGTCTGTGTCCTGTTTTGTATTTATGGTAAGTCTAGCTTATTTATTGCACTGTATTGTCTGCACTGCGTATATTGTATTGTTTTGCACTTGTGTTCCTGTGTTGCACCATTGTCTTGGTCTTCGTTTCACTGTGTACTTGTATAGAGCTGAAATGACAAAGTATAATAATAATAATAATAATAATAATAATAATAATAATAATAATAATGGTAGAACTGTTTTTAAATCTCAATGTTCTTTATATATGAATATAAGCAAAACATTGTAAAGATAAAAACACTATGCTCCAAATGAAATGGAGGGGGGGTGTCTTGTACTCCTGCCCCTTTGACCTCAACCTGTAAAAGTCCCCTCTTGGCTGGTGTGTGTATTTCACATTCTTCAAGATCCAGCTTAGAGAGATGAGGCTCAGCCTTGCCCCTGGTAAGCTGGCTTGGCTTCTATGAGATTCATTGCTCTTGGGCGCCCCCTCTGGTACTGAGGAGAGCTTTGTGTCCCTGATTTATAAGACACTCTGTGGAGCTCTTAAATAAAGGTATAACTGAATTCTACACAGCACTTAAATAGTGTGTTCACACTAGTTAGACTAGGGTTCAAATCTCTTAAAAGCTTTTTACTGCCTTTGCAAAAACTCTTACCACTTTTTGTTATATCTCAAACACTGTCTTTCTTAATAAAAGTGATTGCAATATTAAATTTAGCTCAGTTCATGTTTATGCACCCACACACACACACACACACACACACACACACACACACACACTGTCTGTGCATGGACGTCACAAATACAAACCACAGGTAAAAATCAGTTACAATGCTTACATGCATATCCTTACTTATACAAAAATGTTTTAACATCAAGCTTGAATTCCTAATGTTTTCTGGAATGCTAAAAGGAAAACAGTAAAGACCCTAAAACAGAGCCTTGAGGAACACCATATTGCTCTTCTATGTTCAGAAAATTTGGCAACCAGTAAATCATTGGCCACGCTAGCCAGCAATGACTCTGTGCTATGATGTTTCCAAAAGACAGACTCAAACAATTCAAGTTTGTTATGCAGACAGTTCTCAGATGTCTAGTCAGCAATGTTTAAGCTGTGTTTTATTACATTTCTATCACTCAAACAACATCATTACAACAATTTTAGTAATGTACAAACATTTGTAATATTTTACACTGGGACTTGTGATGGCTTAGCAGGAGCTAACTTAAACAATTTAGGGGCACAGCCCAGGTTGAGTGGTGAGGTACAATCATCCCCAATCACTAGTAACAAATCTGGGAGTAACCTAGAATGCGTTCAATCAAAATCTCAAGTGGGTGATCTAGAGCAGGGGTTCTCAACCTTTTCCACCCCAAGGCCCACCTGTTTATGACTATAAAGCACAGCGGCCGGCTGAAAAACTAAAATCAACTTTATGTTAAATCGTTTCTTTTGTTTCTTGATTGGTTGCATTGAAAACCTTTGAATTGCCTGAAAAAGACCAGATTGTCCATTTTACTTCAGTCACAGAAACCAAAATTTGCAGTTATGTTAAAAAACATAACGTTATAAAACATATGTTTGCAGAGATGTCAAAAAAGGGGAAAAAGAAAAAAGGTAGATGGTGATGTCTCTTTAGTTTTGAGGGTTTTTGTGGTTTATTTGAAACAAACATCTCTCCACTCAGTGGGCTTTTTGGATTAGCGTTGTCACAATCAACAATAATAATAAACATTATTGATATCTGCTTCTTTGTTATTAGTTTATCAAGGTGAGTTTAACTACGCAGGTCGCTGATGCTCGGTCAAAAATCAAACACATATCTTTGCTATTATTTTATGGCTTGTGTGCATTTTTATCAGCTGCAGTTCGAGCTGCAGGAATGACATGCGAGCACTGAGTCAGACGTTAAATCAGGCAGATTATATACAGTGCTGATGTGCTGGTAGAAGAAGAGGAAGGCCAGCTGTATTGATGAATTCCCTCATTTCATCATAAAATTTGTTCCCACCAGCAGTGAACTGAACAGGGTTCGGCTGCAAGTGGTCCGAGACCCACGGTTTTGCCGGACCAGTTGAGCTGTTTGATGCAGACCTGAATATGGGTGGAGTGAACGGAGCGAACTAAAGAAAAAAAAAGTTTGATAGGTCTGCACCGAACAAAGTAGGAGAAAGCACCCTGAGAAACCTCTCCATCTCCAGCTAACCGTCTGCACTGTGCGCCGGCGGCTGCATCGTCTCAAACTGATGATGTCTGATTAGCCTGTGACTGCGATGTTTTCATTTATACGTCTCTATTGGCTCACTAGGAACTACTGCCTCTCCCCGAGTTCAGGCCCGCGGACCACTACAGGGTGCTTCAGGGCCCACTGGCTGTCCGTGGCCCACAGGTTGAGAAACCCAGATCTAGAGGACATCAAGCTTTAAATCTCATTAAGACTGTCCATCATCAGAATCTACAGTGGTATTTGGAGGGTTGATGGTAGGTTGATGATTAATTTTTTCTATTTTGGTACCGAAGTAGTCATCTTCACTCACACTAATTGCAGTATAAAAATATAAAAAGTATATAAAAAGCAGTATTTTTGTCTTGCTGCCATCAGCCTCATGCAGCGCTGCTATGATGACCAGCTATATTAAAGGGGTATTTTTTATCTGCAGTGAAAAATGAAGTAGCTGGTACCAAAAGCGATCTGAAAGAAGCTCTACATGAATTATGGAGTGCAGAACTCGCTCACAGCTGGTTTAACACTAGAACTCACAGTTGACACACTGCTCTGCTGCAGTGTAGTGGACACTAGGACGTCTTCCTCTTTGTCCAACTTGCCCTTTGCTGTTTGCTGCTGTGTAGTGGACGCTAGGATACCTTCCTCATTGTTTAACTTGTCCCTAGCTGTTGTAACAGTGAAATACACAGATGGTACCGTACTCTGCTGCTGTGTTGTGGACACTAGAATGTCTTCCTCTTTGTCCAACTTGCCCCTAGCTGTTGTCAACTTGAAAGTCACAGTTGGCTCAGTACTCTGCTGCTGTGTAGTGGACGCTAGGACGTCTTCTTCCTTGCAGTACTCGCCCCTGGCTGTTGTAACCCTGAAAGACATGAATAGCACAGTTAATGCTGTAATAAGTGATTTTGTAGAAACCATGAAGTGTAACAAATCCAATTAAAAAAACCCACCCCCTACTTTTAGCCCTCCTTCCAAAGCCACACCCCCAAAGCATAAGAATACAAACAATCAGAGTCTAAAAAATAGTGGAAACTGCGGGGAGTGGTGGTCTCATAAATCCATGCTTTAAGGGGGCTGTGCATGTTGAAGAATCTTTCACATGACTACAAATAAAGACAAATAAGCTAGCTAGCTAGCTACATCACTCATTTGTAAAACATCCCATTTAAAGCCAGTATAGACTAGGAGAAAAAGATAAATACAATCAAACAACACTTGCTTAAAATTACAGACATCGTCAAAAATATCCACACACTAGCCAGCTTACACCTACAGCTTAGCAAACATTAGCGCTGGACTAATACAAAACGTAGCTATATACGTAGCTAGCAACATTGCCTACACAATTCAGGAACACAAAAAAAAAATTCCCATAAACAAAACAAACCAGGTAATTACCTGTCCAACAGAAAAATAGCAACCTTGGCATCACATTCCAGACCTTTCAGCCCTTTTGGGTTTCACCACACCGGTGTTCACTCTGGTTTGACCTCTTGCTTTATCCAACCTCATTTTGTTTAAAACTTTTTCAATTTCTGCCTTTCTTTTCTGTCTTTAGCAGTGCAAGCTGTTGAAGGTGCCTGTGTGACTTTCTCTGGCATTCTTGTGAACCTAGCTCGCTCTTTCTGTGTGTGTATGTTTGTGTAAAATCATATAACACTCCACACATGAGCAAACGAGTATGCGTGCAAAGCACACGCATGTGGGCAGGACATGAGGTAGGTAGGTATTGGGTCTGAATGAAATGATTGGACAGGGTTTTTACAGGCAAGTCATCTCCACAGATAATATTTGTTTTGTTTTTTTTATGGTCACAACATTTGATTTGATTTATTGATTGCTATTGGGATGTAATGAGTATTTCAAGAAATATAACAAAAATGTTTCTAAAATAAATCACCTACTCCAGCTTTAACCACTGCGTTAGAGGTTTAGAACTTATATAATTTTTCTTACAGTTAAGAGAGTCTCACCTACTGATATTCAGCAATAAATCAGATTTAATATACAGACAAATGTGTTTATATCATATAATAAATTAGAAACCCACATATATATCTTCTAAAGGTAAAAACTCACCTATAGCCCTGCTTTGGGCAGTCAGAAGGTGTTTTTTCAACTT